TTTTTTTTTTTTTTTTTTTTTTTTTTTTTTTTATACATATGCTCGCAATGTTACCCCTAAGGTTTCTGATTGATTAAATTCTGTTTACAGGAGGAGGACTATGGCGTGAGCGATGGTACCTTTAAAGGAAAGCGTTATTTCACCTGTCCTCCAAAGAGAGCGTTGTTTGTGAAGCTGCAGTCCTGCCGTCCTGATTCACGCTTTCTGAACATACCAGCCAACATCAAGAAGATGCCAGAACTGAATAAAAAGGGTCAGTTCAGACTTACAGTGGCTGTTAGAAATTTCTATTGAACTATCAGAAAAAAAACAGGTTTAAATCTTTAATTGATATAAACTGTTTTTGTTTGATGCAATAATTATAAAACATACAACTTCAATAACTTGTATAAGTGTGAAGGGAAAAAAAAAAAAACGTTTTTTCTTAAAAAAAAAAAAAAAAATAGATTTTTGTCTATTTTTTTGTAATCCAACTATGAAAGCATATTTTCCTTTTTTTTAAAGTGCACAAAAAATATAATTTTACTCTTGGATTGCAGTGCCATTTAGTTGAGCAGGATAATTTTTCAAATTGAGTCACACTTACAGTATACATCAGAAATCTGTTTCTTAATATCTCAAGATAATTTTTTTTTAGGAAGAACATTTCTCTTTTAATAAACAAAGCAGGAATATGCTTAACTTAAAAGAAATAAAAGGGATTGTCTTATTTGTGTGCGATAACACAAATGATCCGTATGTTTGCAGTAATGGGAGGTAAATTTAAAGTTTTAATAAATAAATGTTTTTTTTATGATAGGGGACTTAAAAATAAATGCCAACTTGGCTGACTGAATTGTTATGCTTTCTTTCATTCGTCAGTCAGTTTTTGGGCATTGACACTTCTAAAACCAATTATGATTAATATTTGGAGGAATATCTTGTAGTTACATGCCATTGTGTCCAAGTTTTACCAGCATCTGAATTTGTTGTTTTGAGATTTAAGTTAAAGATTTTTAAAATCATGAATCCAAAATAAAAATTAGAAGTTAAGGGCTCCTCTTCAATATTGAAACTTAAGCAATATACCAGCACCACTAGCACTAAAACACTCCCACAGCATGATGCTACCAACACCATGCTTGACAATTGTGAAATGTGAGGTTTTAAAGACTCGAATGGCCACTAAGTTTTCCTTTCACTGATTAAATGAAACTCATGAATTACCTCAGTTCAAATGTCTCTTGTATTTCATCATTTGTCCTGTATTTGGTGGATCTGAACTCAGTCAGTCGTGTTTATCTTTGTAAACAGAAGAAGATGATGATTATGGCAGCACAGGGAAGCTGGAGACAGTTCCTCCAATCAGCACAGAGCAGGTCCACCAGCTTCTGATTGGTCGGATGAAAGGGATCCAAGGACACTGTAACTCCTGCTACATGGACGCTGCCCTCTTTGGGTCAGGATCACAAATTTATGATGAGAAGATTATAAAAAATGCTATAATGTGACTCAGTCATTGCTTTGAACTTGTTGCTAGTAAAGAAAATTACATAGTGTCCAAAAATATTTAAAAAAAGGTAAATATGACTAACTTTTAAATGTATTTCTCACTTTCATGCTCAGATTGTTTTCCTGCTCCTCTGTGTTGGACTCCATGTTGTTCAAATCAACAACTCCTCAAGACGCTCCAATCCAGAGAATATTACTTCATGACATTGTAAACCCTCTCCGCAGGTGTGTGTCTGCATTTCCCCTTTTATTTCTGTTGCTTGGGGGAAACAGAAATACGTGATGAGTGTTTTGTTTGCAGTAAGGGATTCGTTCTGGGACAAAACATCATGAAGTTTCGGGAGCAGCTGCAGGATCACGGCTATAGTCACTCATTCACCACTGAGGAGAAGGGTCAGTTTGATCCTAAAGTTAAAAACAGTCCGTCCAACATTCTGAGATAAAAAGCTAAAGTAGAAATGTGTCTTGTGTGTTTCAGATCCAGAGGAGTTCCTCAACATAGTGATGCACCACATTCTTGCCCTTGATCCTCTGCTAAAACTGTACTCTTTCCTTTCTTCCTATTCTGTGATTTTAACTAGAAAATACTATGGATAAGACTTTTTCTCTCTCTCATTATACAGGTCAGCTGCTGGTAAAGTACAGGAGAGCTACTGCTACCAGATATTCCTGGACCAGAACCACAGCCTGATTCTGCCCACGGTCCAACAGCTTCTAGAACATTCCTTCCATAACGCAGGACTCAAATTGGCAGAGGTAAGCTCCCAGTTTTATGTTGTCATGAAACGAGTAGGTTTGTTCATAGTTCAGTTGTTAATTGAATCAATCAAGCCACGTTTTGTTTCTGTAACTAAGGAAAATAAAAGGTTGTAGATAAATAATTTCAAAGCCATAGAAGGCAATGGCAGAGAAGGAATCATCATCGTATTCCCTAATGGAAAAACACTGGCTATGAATCAAATGCACAGAATGCAAGGTAAATACAAAAAGAGCAACAATGTGACCACCAAGTATCTTGAAATGACCAACAAATATGATAAAATGAGAATAAAACATTAAATAATAAAAAAAAAAAGAAACTATAGATAAATCTAAAAAGAAATATGAAACATAAATAGATGTTTAATTAAAAGCGTCACTGAAATGGGAAACTTGAATCTATATTTAAAATTTCCTAAATAAAAAATTGCTATCAGCTTCCCTCATCGATAAACAATGAGATCTATTGGTTTAATTTAAGCCTTTTTGTGGCCACCTCTTTTTCGGGCACTAGGTGCCACTGTTAAACATTTTTCTCAGCGAATCCTCTTTCCTTATTTCTCTGTCTTTAAACTTTAGGTGCCTTCCTGCCTCATCCTCCAAATGCCTCGCTTTGGAAAGAAATTCAAGATGTTTGAAAAAATTATTCCTTCGCTGGAGTTGGACATCACCGACCTCCTCTCTGAAGGTACGCTAAAAACACGTCCATTTGAGCAGAGATGATGCAGAACATTGAAAAGAACTCAGTCTGTGTGTGCTTCAGGTCCTCAACAGTGCATTGTGTGCGGACACTTGGCAGTGGAAGAGTGTGGAGACTGTTTTAAAGAGCCAATTTTCAACCCAACAGGATTTAAAGTCTTCTGTAAGAAGTGTTCAGCTCAGGTGGGTTGTTTAAACTTCTGTGTTCAAACTAAAGTTTATTTATGGGGCTACCTTTGAAAACATCTCCTTTTGCACAGAAAGCTATGAATGAAATGGTAAAATACAGACTAAAAATCTAAATACATGTATGTTAATTCACTTAGTAGTATATTTTTTATTGTTGTCCTTCATCTGAGATTAATTAACCTCCTTTCATAGCATGAATTAGCTTTTTTATGTCCAAAAATATAGAAGTTGCATTTATACTATATATACAGCTACAGATTGTAAGAATAATGCTCATACATTGCAAGAGATATCAGAATAGTGATTTTTGTTTGTAAAGTTATTGTTGTGTTGTGAGGCTGGTTTAGCAGTTATTCACACAGCACTCAGCCAGCATCATAAGACCATCTGCTCTTTATCTGCTGCATCTTCATTATTTTGCATTTGTAGTGTACTCAATAAGTTCATTTTTGAACATTTTAATGGGGTCTGTATTTCTCCACAGGTGCACTCTCACCCTCAGCGCCACTCTCATCAGCCTGCAGCTCTGGAAATACCTAAAGGCTACCTCGGCCGTGGCGTCCCTCACACACTGACCAGAGACCGCCTGGAGCTGTTCGCCGTGCTCTGCATCGAGACCAGTCACTACGTGTCCTTTGTCAAGCATGGACCAAACAAGGAGGACTGGATCTTCTTCGACAGCATGGCGGACAGACAAGGTAGGCGTGGAGCTTTAATGCAGCATTTCTCCAAACATAACAAGTTTATTTAATTTGTGGGCTGTTTTTAGGAGAAAGAGACGGCTTCAACATTCCTGAAGTACAAGCCTGCCCTGAGGTGGGCATGTACTTGGAAATGTCTCCGGCTGAGTTGGCAAGTCAGGTCCCGCGTGACATGAAAGGCGTGGCCAAGCGACTCTTCTGCGATGCCTACATGTACCTGTACCAGAGCACGAGCATGTGTCTCTATCGCTGAGGGGACCCGGTTTCTGTTTCCTGCTTCCTTTAATTTACTGATTCATTTTTAAGTTACTGTGTGTGGTAATTTTATACAAATATTTGCAAACAAAAAGGCATTGATATAAATATTTTATGTCTAATGCAGGGAAAATACTTTCAGGCTTGAATAATTTATAGTGATATTATTTCACTTTTGTTATATGAGTGAAGGACAAACTGACAATTATTTCCTGATGTAATTTTTAAACTGAAGGGGAAAAAATGGTATTTGATAAATAATTTTTTTTTTTCGCTGATCACATTCCATCACATTTGGCAGTGAGTTGTTTGAAAAAACAAATTCAACTATTTTCACAAAAGCAGTAATACAGCATATAGCAGAGGAAATCTTGGCAATCTAATATAAAAATGAAATTGACCCTTAATGAAAACATGTAAAAACTGTGTTTATATAGAAAAAAAATTGTATTTCTTCTAAATGCTTTGGAAAGAAAAATGGTTTCCTTTTGTTCTGATTTCCTTAGTAATATTATACTTTGGTGTAAATCTACCATGGGGGGATGAAAAACTGCACTTAGAATGGCTGCTAAAACGTTTATGGAGACCTTTTCTATGCTGATGTATATTAATTGCCTCTCATTGGTGTATATATGTTATGATAAACCTGTTTAAATCCATACTGATTTCTATGTGGATATTTTTTCTCTTTAGCCATACAGCAGAAGACCAGTTGCTATGTGCCTCTTGATGTATTCATGTAAACATTTCAGTCGGTTATAGAAGAAATTAAGCAGCCTTGCTCAAACATTCCCAGCAGGTGATTGATATCCTGGCCTTAACCTTGGGGCGACAAGAAAGAAACAACTATCTAACAGAGGATGATAATTTGAAGCAGGTGATCTACAATCTTGTTTTGATCATGATCCATATCTCACGACCATAGCTGAGGGTTGGCATGCTGATGAACCGGTAAATCTAGAACTTTCACTTTTACCTTCGCTTCAGATTTACCACAACAACCTGGGGCAACGCCTTCAGTTCAGCAAATAAATCCTTGAGGGGTATTTCATAAAACTTGTTCAGAAAAGCTAGACTTAAACGCCCAGTTCTGACACATCTTTGGCACAACAAGTCAAACCAAGATTACTGGGTTTCACATAATGGACACCTGATTTGATTGTCACTAATTCAGGACAGGTTCCATTAACTGGTGTTTTCGTTCACATGAGCAGACAGTGCAGTCGTCACAAGAGTTCAATGAGAAACCTATTAATATATAACTGAAAAATAAAAAGGAAATACTGATGCCACGAATAGAAGGGAAAGGGTTTGATAAATACATGAATCGCCACCTTTTTAATTGCATTCAGAGATTTCTCCAAATATGTGATATTTAAGCAGTGTTAATTTTGACATTTTAAACAAGTGTCATTGAAATTAGAATTTCAGTGATTTTAGTGAAAAAGTAGTCAAAAGAATATTTCCCATTTTAAGTGCCAAACTGCCTTTAATTAAGATGTAGTCAACAGGAATCTTGTTAGCACTAAAAAAAATTTATTTCAAAATGAACAAAATAAACTCTGATTGGTCAAATTGTCTTTATTTCCACAATCATCAAAAAGATCCAGGCTCTATAAATCTGTGCCAGATTTACTTGTTCAATTATCTATATTCATATGAATCGCAAAACAACTTAAAAACTAATATAATGAAGACTGGGGTGGGTTGCCCTGCATGAATTTACCTTACTGAGAAAAGTGTACAGGCCTCTTTAAAGAGTCTGGGGAACAGATAGGACCTAAAAGGAGCTGTTCTGTGGCAAAGCTGCAAGCAACTAAATTAACCCTTTAGGGGGAAAAAAGGGTAATTTGATCCAAGAAGAAATGGGATACTGGGTAACCCCTCACCCCATCACCAGGTTCCTTTTAAAAGGCAAAAAAAAAAGATATATTCACGTCTTAAAAGAAACTTATATGTGAATGATAAATTCCCTAAATGACTGTGTGTTATATTTTATTTCATGATTTTCATTTGATGATATGCAGCTTATAACCGTCACTGATCGTACCGTACATTTTGACCAAGTGATGGCGCTAATACCCTTTCCTTCACCTACTGGGCCCTCTGTGTTGGATTCAACAAAGAAGACTCATATTCTGAATTTAGCTGGCTATAAACCTGGTGCATACCAGGCTCTGTTCACTGGGTTTTGGAAATCCAAATGACAAAAGAAATAAGCCAGGCATGGCCTGCTAAGCATGACTTAGCTGGCTAAACTAAGAAACATTTTATGAAACACCCCTCTGGTCTTCCTTACCTTCTCACGGTCTAGTCTAAAGTCAAATTAAAAAAAGACACAAAGTTTCAATGTCTTTCCAAAGTATTCACATTCCTTCAACTTTTTTCATATTACTCTCACAAACCATGATCTACTAAGTAGATTGCAATTTTATTTACTACACTAAAACAAAGTAGTTTATGTGTAAAAAAAAAACCCAAAACATTTTGATACGCTTTACTATTCAGCCCCCTTTATTCTGATGCCCCAGATAAAATCCTGTGCAACCAAGAACAAAATCCCCCTGTAGTTTATTCTCTAAGTAAACACTGTATCTGTTCAGTAAATTTCTCAGGTTTTGTTGGAGAACAATGGGAACAATGAAGAGGGGATCATCCGATAGGTCAGAGTTAAAGCTCTATAAATGTTATTGAACATTTCATTAGGTAGCATTAAATCTAAGATCTAGAATTTGCAGATCTTATCTGACTAACTTTTATGTATTTAGTCAGATAAGATCTAAACTGTACCTCCTGTCCTGCATGAAAAATGTTCAGTGTAGCAGAAAAATAACACTGCATTTCACTCTGAGAAAGCTATCATTCTGTCCAAAGAGGCTGGTTGATGGGATTGAGCGCATTTGATTCATGGTTAATTCTGGATCCAGACTATTTACAAGGTAGAAAAAACATCCATCCATCCATTTTCTGTCAGACTTAATCCCAGCCAGGGGGCTGCTATCCCCAGCAGTCTACAGGTGGGGTACACCTTGGACAGGTCACCAGTCCATCGCAGGGCAACACAGAGACAAACAACATTCACACTCACACCTAAGGAGAATTTATAAAAGCCAGTTAATCTAACAGTCTTTTTTTTTTTGACTGTGGGAGGAAGCTGGAGTACCTGGAGAGAACCCACACATGGCATTGTTAGGGAGAACATGCAAACTCCATGCAGGGAAGTGCTCTCCATGCTCCATGATTCTCCATGCTGGGAATCGAACCTGTAACCTTTTTGCTGAAAGCAGCAGCAGTGCTACCCACTGCCCTACTGGGCAGCCGGTAGAAAGTACATAAAACAATTTAATTTCTATCTTCCATCTGGAGAAAACCCCTTATAATAAAGCCAGAGCTACACTGGAAGGGTTTTGTTAGTAATATGTTTATACACTGCCTGGCCAAAAAAAAGTCGCCACCTGGATTCAACTAAGCAAATAGGTACGAGCCTCCTATTGGATAATTACTGCATGGGCGATTATGTTTCAGCTGGCAACAAGTTATTTAACCCCAACTTGTGCAATGACTTGCTTCTCATTTCCTAAACAACCATGTCGAAAGACACATCCCGTGGTCGTGGAAAAGATGTTAGTCTGTTTGAGAAGGGTCAAATCATTGGGATGCATCAAGCAGAGAAAACATCTAAAGAGATTGCAGAAACTACTAAAATTGGGTTAAGAACTGTCCAACACATTATGAAAAACTGGAAGGATAGTGGGGACCAATCATCTTCAATGATGAAATGTGGCCGGAAAAAAAAATCCTGAATGATCGTGATCGGCGATCCCTTAAATGTGTGGTGAGATCAAATCGAAGAAAAACAACAGTAGAACTCAGGGCTATGTTTAATACTGAAAGTAAGAGCATTTCCACACGCACAATGCGAAGGGAACTCAAGGGGTTGGGACTGAACAGCTGTGTAGCCGTAAGAAAACCACTAATCAGTGAGGCTAACCGGAAAAAAAGGCTTCAATTTGCTAGGGAGCATAAAGATTGGACTGTGGAGCAATGGAAGATGGTCATGTGGTCTGATGAGTCCAGATTTACCCTGTTCCAGAGTGATGGGCCAATCAGGGTAAGAAGAAAGGGAAGGTTAAGTGATGCACCCACCATGCCTAGTGCCTACTGTACAAGCCTGTGGGGGCGGTGTTATGATCTGGGGTTGCTGCAGTTGGTCAGGTCTAGGTTCAGCAACAGTATGTGCTCAAAGAATGAGGTCAACTGACTACCTGAATATACTGAATGACCAGGTTATTCCATCAATGGACTTTTTCTTCCCTGATGGCACAGGCATATTTCAAGATGACAATGCCAGGATTCATCAGGCTCAAATTGTAAAAGACTGGTTCAGGGAGCATGACACATCATTTTCACACATGGATTGGCCACCACTTAGTCCAGACGTCAACCCCATTGAGAATCTTTGGGATGTACTAGAGAGGGCTTTGTGAAGTGGTCAGACTCTACCATCTTTAATGCAAGATCTTCGTGAAAAAGTAATGCAACACTGGATGGAAATAAATCTTTTGACATTGCAGAAGCTTATCGAATCAATGCCACAGCGAATGCGTGCCGTAATCAAAGCTAAAGATGGTTCAACAAAGTATTACAGTGAATGACCTTTTTTTTTTGGTGGCGACTTTTTTTTGTCCAGGCAGTGTATATATGTTTTCTTCAAATAACCGAAAACTAAAAAATTAGGATCCTCTGCCAACACGTAAAGTGTTACGGTCACAGCCTCCATCTATCCAGTATAACTGAATTTAAGATATTTTATAAAAATGAATTGGCAAAGATTTCAGTCTTCAGATACACATCACAAGGTTTGAAGCAGTAACTGCAGCAACAAGTTAAGCTAAGCCTCAGCCCAGAGAGCGGCCACATCTGAGACAAAGTTTGAGCTGATGGAGTCAGACTGAAATCACAACCAAATCAAAGGTTGCTTTTGTTCCCTTTAAATTGTTATTAGTGCTGATTCCTTGTTCAACCGTTTTCCCTTGTTTCGTCTCAGCCTCCTGTCTCTGCATGAGCTCATGCTGAGAACAAAATTGGCTCCACATTGAGTTTGAAGTCTGGTCTCCAATCTGTTTGGAAGGTTTTGCTGATTAAAAACAATATGTCATGTTGTGGTTTAAAGCCTTTTCAATTTGATAGGGTTTTTCTCAGGCAGGAGTTGACCAAACTGCTAATCTGTCATTCTGCTTTTCCATAAAAAATAGAATAAATATAAAACCCAGCAGAAATTGACTCTTAGCACTTCTATAACGATTTATATCACTACAGTGACATAAAGCATCTGCTACACTTGTGGTAGGCTATAACAAAATGCTGTTGCGATGGCTTTGAAGTGTCAAATATGCTACAGCATGACATGATTCGAATACACACAGAGCTTTTTTTTCCCATTAAAGTGCAGAAAGTGGTTGACTCAAGTTCCCTCTGCCTCATGTTTCTTTCAAACGGTGTCTGCCTGGATATTTGTCTTCGATCTGGATGCCTTTGATCCTGCTGTCTGTCTTTGTCTCGCTGTGATCAGGTCTCTGAGTGACCTCTAACTCTAGTTAGGAGTGCTGAGCTGTGCTGGGTGCGTTCTGCTTGGAGTTGGGATCTTTGCTACACTCCAGGGGTTGGATCGCAGAGGAGGAAGCAGCCTTGAGTCTTAAAACAAAGCCCTGTAACTTAAAAAAGGAAAACAGGCGTCCTTTCATCCAACATGCTCAGCATATTCACAAATATGCAAAAAAATCCACTGACCCTGCAGTTGTATTTACAGAAGGGAGGAAGAGTTTTGATTGTCAAAGCAGTAAAGTTGTTCTGTTTGTTGAAAGAAGATAATGTCACGGTAATAAATCCCACAGAGCCTGAAAATTCAGACATTTTATCAAAGCAAATAACAAAAAAAACAGCCGGATCCCAATAAAGTGACATTCTGGAACTGTAATGATTTTATTTATTTATTTATTTTTTTCAGATTTATTTCTTAACAGGGGTTGCTAAAGAGTAAATCATAACTCTGATGTCTAACTTCTCATTTTTATTGTTCTTATTATCTTATCTGGTGAATTGTAATTGTCGTAGTTTTATGAAATTGCAGGGATTTACAACCACAACCACAGCTGCCTGGGGTCTGAGAACATATCCTATTGGACAGTTTAACAAAAGCATAATAATGACAAAAAACAGCGTACAAGTAAACACA